TCTGAACCCTTCCAGCGCGGACCGCACTATTTTGGTGCGCGGCCGCGCTGGTTAACCTAAAACCCTAGCCCTCAGACTCAGCCACGCGGACCGCACAAAAATGCATCGCGGCCACGCTGGTGTCTGCAACACCTGAACCTGCATTTTCTTAAGTCCAAGACCTCCCGGGCCCCATTCAAAACTCACCCGAGCCCTCGGGGCTCCAAACCAAACATGCACACAACCTTAAAAACATCTTACGGACTTACTCGTGCGATCAAATCGCCAAAATAACATCATATACATAGGATCAAGCCTCAAACACATGATTTTCTTTCTTCAACTTTCATAACTCAAATTCTCCATTAAGTCCGAAACACGTCATATGACGTCCGTTTTTAGCCAAACTTTACAGATAGTGCTTAACACATATTTAAGACTTGTACCGGGCGTCGGAACCAAAATACGAGCTCGATACCTATATTTTCTAACTCCTTTTAATTTCAAATTTTCATATCAAATTTCAGAAAATAATTTCTTTCAAAACTTCATTTCTCGGGCTTGGGACCTCGGAATTTGATTCCGGGCACACGCCCAAGTCCCATATTTTCCTACGGACCTTCTGGGACCGTCGAATCACAGGCCCGGGTCCGTTTACCCAAAATGTTGACCGAAGTCAACATTATGCATATTAATACCAAAATTCATCAAATTTTTCACAAAATCCACATATTCTAACATAAAAACTTTCCGGCTACGCGCCCGAACTGCGCATGCAAATCGAGGCGACTAAAAGCGAGGTTTTCAAGGCCTCGGGAGCACGGAATAGGGAAGAATTACGGTGATGTCCCCTTGGGTCGTCACAATAAATATGAATGTTTATATAATATCAAGGGCATAATAGACTTTTAAGTAAAAATGTGACTTTTGTGATAACTAGAGTAAAGTAAAATGATTTTTGTGTAACAAAAGAAAGAAAAGTGATTTTTGTGTAATGAACACAAAGTTGAATGAATTTTATATAACAAAAAAAAGTAATTTTTGAGTAACAAACACAAAAGTTCAATAATCATGGATAAAATTATATCGAAGTGTCNAAACTTAAAGTTGAATGATTTTTACATAATCAAAAAAAGAAAAGTAATTTTTGGGTAACAAACACAAAAGTTCAATGACCATGGATAAAATTATCTCTTATTTTTATTAATACAAATATATTCTTTAAGTATATTTTCGTTTTAAACAAATTTATTCTCATTGATAAGGGGTACTCATGCATTGTGCGTGCCCAGAAATTAGTTAAAGTGAAAATTGGAATTATGCTTCCTCCCCACATAGTGATAACTAATTTTAAGATAATGTCAAAGAACGATGCTTTTTAAATTCTTTGTTATCGCATCAGAATCTAATTTTCTTTTCCAATTAGAAATGTCTAATTCACGTTAACCTATACCTTTCAGAACCTGATTAAGAATGTCAAACCAGCAAATTCTTCAGCTGTTAACAGCCCAAAGAAAATCTAAAGGAAAATTTTACAATACCCAACTTTGACTTCCCGTTTTCACGAGCAATTCAGGATTTTCATTCAAAGAAGTCAGCAAACATAAACGGCATAGTTGTCCTGTACATTCCACTTTGTAACCTCTTATATATAATAGAGAAAATAACAGAATACGTACTTCTTCAACCCAACCATAATAATTACTGTATAACACCATAGGTACAAAGAAAGAATAATGAACGAAATAGGACACTATGGCCATAACAAATAAAAGTGAAAATCTTGTCTGAGGTAAACTATTTCATAAACCCAAATCTCCGCCTAAATAATTACAAGTGCGGCCAGGTTCAGGCCTTCAATTAACCTCTAATTTCAGTAGTCATGTCAACTGACAATGGCATATCTTTAGTTAATCAAGGATGGCGGTGTGGAAAAGGCTCTCCAGTGTTGACATCATAGTAGTCCAAGAAGATTGCTTGGACAAGAATTGAGCGCACTTCTCCCAAGAAAAGGTTAGCGTCAAACACAAGAATGTGGTCTTCTGCAAGAATTACCCCTCCAACTATACTTCGAATCCAGGCATTTCAAACAGCGAAGCAAAATTTTCAACACGTGTCCGTAGCTCAATAATGTCATTGTTGTTCTCAAGGCCCTTCAAGAAAGCCTTTGCCAGCTTTCCGTGTCCTTTCTGTACTGAATTAGCAATCTGTGCTGCTCTAAGAAGGAAATCTGCTATCATCTCAAAATCATTCTCCAGGCAGCCTCTTGATGTCATAGCAGGGGTCCCTGCACCCGAAGAAACAAAAGAATATATATAAAGGGCTTCTCAACTCCTGAAAGTTGATAAATGAAACTCAGCATCGAAACAACTTACCTATCCTCACACCTCCTGGGGTCATACTCCCATTATCATCAAAGATCATCACTTTGTTGACAGTGATGTGACACAACTCACAGACCTTTTCGAAATTCTTACCTACACAAATATAGTAGTATAAAGACCAATATACCATCAAAAAAATGGCAGCAATTCAGCAACTGCAATTGTAATTCCATGACAGCAACTCCCAGAATCAAGAAGACAAGAGATTGCAGATTGCAGGAAGTGAGTTCATCATCATGCAAGTGAGCTAAGCCCATTAAGCAATTATTTTAGAAGTGCAAAGTTACACCAAAATTAATACCTTAGTTTAAGCTACCTATTTGTTAGAAATCAAATGTCCAGTATAACCATAAATAATGCGCTCAAACTAAACACATGCCAGTATAACTAAAATAAGGCTAGTTTACTACATTGATCGTCACCATCCTTTACATATATAATTACCATCTCAAGTACAAGCAATTACCGGTACCAACTTCCAAGTATATTCTGTTGAAACATAAAACTAGAAACTTAAAACTAGAAGCCTAGCCAAACAATCAAATATGTTGAACTCTATGTTCTGTATCTAGTTCAAGCAGTAGTAAAATGCACAAAAGCTAATCTATGGACCCCACATGTTTCTCCAGTAAATATTAAGCAAAAAACATTTTACATTGTTTTCTTCACAATTGAATCAAGTCAACCCACCGCACTCCATCTTAGATGACATAATAAACGAAAAAGCAGTCATATTCTTCTAGGCATCAAGGCCACAAAGGTAAGAAGTGGCAGGTTTGCTGCCTATCAACAATATTGGATGCCATCAGCAGTCGTCCCATATAACTTATTCTCTTCCAACTTAACTTAAGGAAGAGATAACTACTAAATTACAGAGATTTATCATCAACGGCATTTGCATGAGAATGCCTCCAGTGTTTCAGTTCTCATTAGCAGCAAGGAAGTTAGGTTTTTAGAGAAACCTAAAGACGAGGCAAACTACAATGTTCCCAACGTTGGACAACCATGATACCAGGATAGTAGAAAATAGTAATTATGCCACCACAGTAGTAAGAAGTCGATATAAAAATGTGGTGAAACAAATTGATACCAGGATCATAGGAAAAACACTAACTCTAAAAAAAATTTAAAAAAAAAAAAGAAAAAAGAATGACTTGTGCTGTTCATTGACCGCACTAGTATGAATATGAAAATAAGAGAGTAATCGCTCAACCTAGTGAACGACTTAGACTGGACTCCAACCCAAACAATACTTGTGACATTCACTTCTTTTTTTTCCTACAGCCATATCTTCCATGCACTATCCCTTTCCTCAGATTTGAAATAACGAAGAGGTAAAAAATGAATACGCTGGCAACCACAAAAAGAACATGTATCAAATAGTAACATTTGACGCATCAGTTTCACTAGACACAGGTCCAATAATTTAACCAAATGAAATAACAACCGTACTTCAGGCAAGTGGAGGTAATTCAGGAAAAGATATTCAACCTGTTAACCCAAGATTTCTCAGATCCCACAATATCATGTTATTGTCTGTCCCTCCAGTAACCAGCCTACAGTTTCTTCTCAATAAAGCAGCTGCTAACGCCTGAGCATTTCTCTTTGCTTGTTGCATATATGCCTTGTATTCAGGACTAGCCACTTGTTTCAATGCCACTGCTAGGGCAGCAATATGGTTATTGTGTGTCCCACCCTGAAGAGCAGGAAAAACGGCAAAGTTTATCTTCTCCTCAAAATCATATTTATCACTGCCATCACCTTGATTCAAAAGCATGCCTCTCTTCCTTGGCTTTGAACCTTTCCTGTAGAAGATAATACCTCCCCTAGGGCCTCGGAGACTCTTATGGGTTGTTGAAGTAACAATGTCACAATAGTCAAAGGGACTCAAACACTCCTGCAGAGACAGTACTATGCATCAGATTTAACAGAACACCTGATCATCAATGTAAGGAAAGGAACCAATGGGAAATCAAGAGTAGTAACACAAAGACGAAGAGAGATTCCTCACAACAGATTTACTCAGGGCAGCAAAAAGCACACAGATACTTGAGTACATATTTACTACACCAGGAAGAAAAGTAGACTTTATCAGGTTATATCTGCAGTAAATTTCTTTTAGTCTGCAACATCGTTACCTAAAAATACTCCACCTATGATGTCTTGATCTTTTATCTAACAAACGGAACCAAACATTAAATCAAGTTTAAAAAATCCCAAGCAAATGAACTCATCACCAAGTTCAGTCACAAGCAAATATTTAACCATTTGTTACACTAACAATCTCGAGCCAAGACGAAGCATATACATAAAGAGAAGATGCATAACAATTGCAAGTTATCAAAATAGATTAAAAATACAATGGTGTAGCTATTCCATTGCTTTCCGGAAAGAGCATAAATGGTTCCTTAAGTAGCACGGATTTGTACTTTACAATCGGAAATGTTCTTTAGACAAATTCAGCAGGTAACAAAATGGCACTATAATCATGGCAGTATAACCACAAAGCAGATTTAGGTACTGTGTGAAATCAGAAAATTGGCATGCTATTAAAGGGATGCAAAATAAGGTACTAAACCTACAAGGTTTAAGTAAGGAGCGATTTGCTGTCAGTAAAGTGTAGTTATTCAGCCTAAGAAATCACCTTGAACATCCAAAACTAATGCAAAAAGCACAACACATATTACTTGATGGGTTCTTTCTGCTAGCCAGCAAGAGATCAGAGTGAACACTAAACTGGTTAATAAAAGCGAGTAAACTGATGCACGTGCTAAGCTGGGTAAAGGGGCCAAAATAAATCAAATAACCAACAGGACTAAAAGAAAAAATTACCTTTGCGGCAACAAGGCCACTAATCTGTGCCATGTCACACATTAAAACTGCTCCACATTTATCAGCAATTTGTCTAAACTTTGCATAATCCCATTCTCGGGGATAGGAACTTCCCCCACATATAAGAATCTTGGGCCGGAAATCAAGAGCCCTTTCTTCAAGCTTATCAAAATCTACATACCCAGTTTGGGGGTCAACCTTATAAGATAAACTCTCAAAGAAGATTGAAGCTCCTGAAACTTTCCTCCCATTGGGCAAATAGTATCCATGGCTCGTGTTTCCACCAGATGGTGTATCCAAACCCATAATCCGATCACCAGGGTGTAATAAACCAGTATAAACAGCAAAATTAGCTGAGGTGCAGGAATATGGCTGCACATTCACACCCCAATTCTCTGGATCAAGTCCAAAAGCAGCCAATGCACGCTTACAACATAGCGTCTCGATTTCATCTATATACTGATTGCCACCATAATACCTTGCCCCTGGCATTCCTTCGGAGTACTTGTTCGTTAAATGGCTACCTAATGCCTCCATTACTGCCTTGCCCACGAAATTCTCGGAAGCAATTAATTCAATCCCTTTGTGTTGCCGTTGCTTCTCCTTCTCCATTATCTCATACAAATCAGGATCAGCTACACTTAGGCCCTGATTGCCCCATGCTCTAACAGCATTTCTTCGCGATTCAAGCCCTGGCGTCGAACTGATCTCTCTCTTCCTCTTTAAACACATCGAATGCCCTAAAATGCGGAACTCTTGGACATCCCTCTCCTCATCCGAATGGGAAGAGTCACGAACGCGAGGATTGAGCCGAAAGGTGATCGACTCATGAGAAACAAACCCTAGAGACAGATTGCTCGATTGCGACGGAGTAATATCCATCCTAATCCAAGAAACGACCAAAAACAGATGAAATTGAGATTCTCCCTTTGTTGCTCCAATTCCAAAAAAAATTAAAAAAATTCAACTTATATTCAATTTTAATGGATAGTAGCTCACCGTGGAAGAGTGCAAACAGAAGTGTGCTTGGAAATGAATTCAACAGCAGTGACAAGAACAGAAACAGCGACCGGAGCAGTCAGAGTTGGAAGGACGACGGTGGAGGTGCATGGAAGAGGGTGCGGTGAAGGTGTACCTGATCGTAGCCGGAGCTTCCATAAAAAGGGAGGCACAAAACCTAGGAGAAGATAAATATTGAATATCGATTTTGTTTCTTTGTTACGTTACTAACGTTGTACTTTTATGCTTGATATATATGGAGAAAGAAGGGAATGAAGGGAATTGAAGAAGAAGGGGAAGATTCAAGGGGGATGTACCTGGACGTATTTGAACTGTGACATACTTGTGTACTTAATTTTAAGGAAACCAACTCCACGTGGTGGCTTTGCGCTCGACGACCCTCTTGTGTACTTTTGTATTTACTTATAGATATATGTTTCTTAGCGGTACAATCGAAGAAGGTTTTGCCACGCTATATCAACATAGATTCCTGTAGACGCTATACCAAGTACACATCATTCAAAATTTAGATCGTAAATAATATTTCCTAGTAACAAGCAATTGTATATAATCCAAAACTTGAGTGCATGATATAATATCTTCTAATAACGAAGCATTCCACTTCATTATAAAATTCTTAATAGTTATAATAATATAAATATAAATAATATTAATCTAACTTAATTGTCAACCGACATCATGGTCAACAAAATAATTTTGTGGTCTTCCCATGGACATCCAATTAACGTGCGGCACAAGTCTGCATGTTGGCAAAGAAATATATAAGCCTTTGGGACCAAACGCGGTTCCAAATTCATCTCCTTCACCATCTGCCATATCTCACTCTCTAGAATTGGTGGCATAGTTGATAAGCGATTTATGGCATTGGCCAAATTATCCATCCCACCTCTCAACATATCAGTCATACCTTTAAGATGATCTTGTTTTTGATTTTTATTCTTATTAGAAATTGGTGCCTCTGAATATGCATTCAATGTAGGCGTTTTGGGAGTTGTTTGCTCTTGCTCGTCTTGCCCATCTTTCTCAGTGTTTTCCAAAGAGGCAACATTCATAGAAATTAATTCATCTACCTCATCAATGGTCAATGAAGCAGTACTTGATCTTCTCG